GGGGGTGGGAGAGGTGAAGATGAGGCTAACAGTAATAACATCATGTGGTTTATGTAGGTTAACAGTGTGAACAGCTTGATAACAGACTTCTATAACCTCTTATTTTAAAATAGTTTTCTAGAACAGCCTGTTAAGACACTTAGCAGTGTATTAAATTTTGGTCCTCACCCTACCCCAGAATAGTATCTTCACTTATTTTCCACTGGGTGAAATCTTCTATCAGTTTGCGTGTAAACTGTCCAGTATTTCTCCTTAGTTTTACTGGGCTCTTCAAAGAGCCCACCTCTGAACCTCTCTTCCACAGCGTTCCTCCACTCGTGCCCGTGATGCCTGCGCACCAGTACAATGTGGCGCCAGGTTGTTCCTTAGCCCCGCTCTCCATACACAGCCCTCTGCAGTGGTGGCTGGTGCCATCAGCCCTCTCATCCTCGGGGTGCCCCAGCAGGTACCACCAGACTCCAGTGAATCCTCCGGAGGCTAAGATGCCCTGGAGGCCACGCAGCGGGTAGTGCCAGCCCCCGCAGCCCAGCATTCCCAGGCAGCGGCACAGCTTGGTGCTGCCAGCAGCGTGGCTGCTGTGCTGCCGCATCTTCTGCCATGTGCGTGCACCAAATCAGTTCTCAGGTTAAACCACAGGATGCAGGATTACGAAGTCATTCATTCAAGGAGTACAGCAGGATAAACTGTAAAAATCTCCATGTTCCAAAACGTACAGGAGAAGATACAACTTCTTTTCGGTCTGTCTGATCTCTGTAGGACTGACTGCGAGCTAAAGGCACCTAAGGAAGTTATCTGCATCCTACTGAATCAAGAAAACAGGGAAGATTAAACTAGTTGATTAGACTGTGAATTATCACAAATAATTAACAAAGCAAAAGGAAGATTTAAAGATTACATGACTCCAAATGTTTTATTGCTTTTATTCATATATAAATACTAATCGACTTTGCAATGCTACAGTTCTTAATTGGTGTGAATACAGATGTCTTTCTGCAGGAAAGCATTTTAACCTGAGGTGCTCTTGCAGTTCTGTTGTTTTCCTCATGTGTGTTAATTCACCATTTACATTCAGACCCAAGCCTGTGATTTATTGTCTGAGTTAGAACCTATTTTTTCAGCTAGTCTGGTCTGTCATTCATTAGGCTTTTTGAGGAAATATATGCCGACAGACTTCACCTCTACCTAAAAGTAAAATGCGTTTTTTGAAAACAAAGAATTAACACTTATTTGATGCCACAAAACACAAGAGAAGTACACACTCTCAATTATACACATTTTTCTTACTTACAGGGAATATGTAACAGAACAATGCTTAAGGAAATTTCAGACTAACTGTAACAAGGTGCAAAAAAATAATTCATCAACCTACTATAAAAGAAAACCACAAACTGTACATGACCTCTTGATAAAGCTATTACTAAAACCCCATTTGCCATTGTTAACCATCCCATTTTACTATGTATTAGGAATGTCTTTGTCCCAATAATGACTACACACTATGTCAAATAGGAAGAAGTATGGACAGAAATCCTTAACCTGTAATTCTACATAGATGTGCACACAGGAATTCTGCCTATGGCTAGAAAGAGGAGTTACCAAATTAATTGATTCACAAGTGTAAAGCTGGATACTATATCAATGCTCTTTGGAGAATTTAGCAACAGGTAAGCCTCATTCTGGCCCTATATAGAGAAGTTGAACTAATTTTGTGTATTTAATAGCTTAGAGACTATCCATGGCAGTGGGCTATAAAGATAATACTTGTTTTGGGGCTGTTTATTTGAATCATTGAGGAAGTTACACAGTCTTGAAACAGAAGATAATCTAAAGGCATCGCCAAAGTACATGTAATCCTGAAAAATGGTTATCTTGTATTACTGCCATGTTGTTATCTATTTGGGTTATAAAAGTTCCAGTTGTTGTGGACTTAGTCTAGCTTTCATACCACTATAATTTTGCTGTTCCACAGACCACTTCCCATAATTCTTCTCCTGAAAATAGACAGACTATTTCTGGCTGAAATTGCTGAAAATAAATTCCATACAAATTGCCTGAGAATATTGCTCCAGATCCAGAGTTGCTGACACCTTTTGAATTTTTGCCTCTTAGGGAATTACACACAACCTTTGAATGCTGAAGTTCATTAGTGCTTGCATCTCATATTGATGAGCTTCATATAAAGGAATGGAGGAACAGGTAAGTCATAACTAAGGTAATGAGCTTTTAGCTGTGGCAGTAACTGAAGACATGTCATGGATGATAATTACTTAAAGAATTTCTCTATAGTTTTATTTACTGTCATTCAGGTTCAGGATTCACTCTTTCATCTTCAATCTTAACAAGTGGTGTTTCATTTTAAATGTTCTAGACAGCCATATCTTTTTCTAGAAATGCAGATATCCAGACATTCTTATTACTCATGTTTTCATTATCAGTTTGTTTTTCTCCTCATTACTGGCACTGACCTTGCCAAGAGCTAAGAACATGCATAATTTTACTAGTGCGATTAGACTCATTAAAGCTAATGGGATTAGTCCAGAAAGTAAAGCTACTTCTGTTTAAATGTTTGTTGTTTGAGGTAGTGCTGAAAGATGAGGGAAGTCTGGAAGGAATTCAGACTGAACAATAATTTTCATTAAATGTCATACAAAGAGAAATTAAAAGATTTTTTTCTTGACTCAGCTCTGAAGTGTGATAAGCCCAAGATGGTTTTCCACTAGAGGTGAGCAGGGATTTCCTAACATTGCTTTTTCTTCAAAAGATGGGGACTTATCAAGAATTAAGCTGGTCTCAACAAACTTTACAAGGTTGTTTCTCAAGTCTAGGATGAAATTTCTAAATTAAAGATATGAGACATCTCAGCCACCAGCCCAGCAATAGAGGCTGAGTGTAACCTGAAAGAAGAATCGTGATGCTATGCCCTGGGAGACTCTGGGTCCCCCCAGGAATATTTCATTAATGTGGGGAGATTGAGAGAAGCAAACCCAGAAGAGGTTTCCTCTTTCTGCACAGAAATAGGGAGATTGCACTGAAATAAACAACATTTCCTCTCTCAGAGGAATGCTCTCACATTAGAGAGCACAGTTAGAACAGTTAGAACATGGGCTTATAGCTTGGGGGTCTTGTGTATAAAATCCTCAAGAAGTGTTTATGCCAGTATAAAGTGGGGGAAAAGTCTAAAGGATTTCCTCGCTATTACTCCTACCCTACCTTTGTTCCTAATTTCGTGTGCTGTCTTTTTGAATTGCCAGCTGAAAGCCTCCCAGAAGCATATTAGCAGCCAGAAATACAATGTTTAGAGTGCAGCTGGTTTTCAGCCCCTTTCTTTGACAGCTATCTCAGCTAGGACTGAGGGGAGGAGCATGGGGCAGTTGCTCCATCCATCCCAAGGAACTTTCCTTCTGGACCATCAGGACAATTTTATGGAGACTGGTAACACAGACCAGACATAAAGTGAGTGATTATTAACTCCATCATGCTATGATTCATCATTTCTGATGAGCTGCCTCATATACAGTGAGTTATTAAAAAATTTGCCTTCTTACAGAATCAAATGAAAACTGCTCTGCTATCATTTTGAAGCAGAAAATCTCCCATGGCCTTAAAGAAAACATTGCTTGTGGGCTTTCACCCATTTTGTACCTTCCTTTCAAAACAAGCACTTACTTTGTTCTCTGATAAATACAAATGACAAGTAAAATTTATTTTGGCTACAGAGGGGCTATTTGTAGTCTGAAAGTTAAAATTCTTAGTTAATACTGACTCCTGTACCCTGTTTTTCTGTGCAGAGGTTCAAAACCAGCAAATCCATCACTGCAAAGTCTAATATCAGGGGTGGTAGATATATTTAACTATTACTCACTTTTCTCCAGGAAAGCAACAATGCCCCAATGCTCACAATTTTATTAACATTGGAAAGAGCCATGTGGGGTTCATATAGTGTTTAATCTCCATGAAGTCTCAGAGCCCAAGGTTTTCTGATTACAGGCAGAGGAGGAGGACTGGAGTGGCAGTTAGGGGTGCGCCGGTCCCTACTGTATATACAGCTGTTGCTGCACAGGGGAGGGAAACGCAGGGTCTGGCTGTCTGTTCCAAACAAAAAGAAATGGCACATGCTATTACTTCCAGATCATTGCAGTCCCTGCACCACCATCTGCTGGGGGTCAGAGCAGTTGTCCGGGTCGGCGTCAGTCATGCACAAACTCAATGCCTTCCACCGAGCTGCGCCCAGCAGTACATATTTACAAGAACAATAAAGCGAACCTGCTCCCTGGACACAGGCACCACAATGCTCCATCACATTGGGAACAAAGGGGCACAACGAAACTCGATATGCATTACAAAGGAGGTTCTTGGGGATCACAGCTTTGTGATTTCAGGCTGTAACACAAATTGAAGGAAAGAAAAACTGTCACCAATAAGCCCAGACCTAGTGATCATTGTATTTGTAATTGACACAGCATTGCTGAAAGGGTGCCTGGGTCTCTGTGTTTCCCATTTTCCTATTATCAAAGTCGTCTGTAGAAAATAGTTAAATTGGAAAAGCTTTGATGATAAATATTGAAAACTTGGATATGTTATTCTGTAACAGCAGCAAGATAATTTCTGCCACTTACCCCAGCTTGTCCATGCAGATCTCTTTTTCTGGGGCTTATGCCATGTGCTGGAGCGAGATGTGGAGAGCCCTGACTGACGTAAACTGAACAGTTCCTGGAAACTGGATGAGTACAACTGTGTCACTGTGATGTTGAAACCAAATGAGCAGTTTTAGCATCTCTTTGGCCTAACAACAGCTAGTGAGTAATTAATTTCTCCTGCTAAAAATGGCTGCTTCACCACCACTGGAGTGACACATCAGGCATTACTGTTGGGTGCTGCAAAGCTTCCACTTAGTGCTGTCCTGCTCCCTTGGCTGAACATACACGTACAGGCATGACACCCTTGGGGCCCAAGCTCAAGGTGGCTTTGCTGGCAGGGTGTTAAGGCATAGAGGTGAAAAGTACAACCCTTCTTTTAGGTCTAGGCTAGCTTGCTGCAGAGTTACATACAGAGTTTTGATGCTGCATTAAAATGGAAGCAGGGAAGTAATGGGGCTCAGTGCAGAGGCATCTGCATTCAGCTGAGTTTATTCGTTTGGTCTCAGCATCAGCACTGCTAAAACAGGCAGCAGTGCCAGCATGGGGTGAGAGAAATAGGCAGCAGTTCTGGAAAGCTATGAAAAGGGCAGGTGGAGCTGCACCCAGAACATTTTTCAAGTGAGGCTCATTGCCAAATAACTAGAAACTATGCTGTGCTAGCAAAAACACACGAAGGACTGCTGTAGTCCCTGCCTCACATAGCTACAGTGTTTGTCACAGCACTACCACATACATAATCTTTGACATTTCATCTGATAATTAGTGGTTTTGGCACAAGTAAACACACTCTTGTTAGGTCCTATTCTCACTTGCTTTTTGCTAAGCATCACTCATCATTTTTTGCATAAAACTTCTCCAGTCCATGTAATGTTTGACAGCCCTTCTTGGATGATTTGCCTGAAACATGATAGGGAAGAGGAGACCTCCAGGTAGCTGCACACACATGTCTTCCAGACTCCACCTTCCCGGCCTCGCTGGCACCAGGACACCCCAGCTGCCAGAGCCGCAGAGCTGGTTCTGGAGCCTGCGAGGGCATGCAGAGCAGCCCTTGCTTGTTTCCTTGGAGAACCTCACCAGCTTAGTTACATATCTGCACTCGGAGGACACTTTTGCTGAGCCATTCCACACAGAGCTGAACTCCACAGGTTTGTCCTGCAGTTAGGCAGGCTTTAAGCAGTGGGTCACAACGAAAAAGAATATTTTTTTTTACCATCCGGTCCTGTGGAACTGGGTTTGAAGTAAAAGTTGCAGAAGAGTAGTCAATGTACAGCTTAGATGCATTTGCATAATAAAATGTATGCAAAGTGTATATAATTTTGTATCTAATTTTGGGGAGGAAAAGGCAGGGGATAGGAAGCTGGCAGAGTGTCTCTGTGAGGATATTAGTAATGTGCCTGCTTGCAGCTGTGCTGGAGGGTTTATTCTACCAGCCAGTGTCTAGATTAGTGTAGGGGATAGATTGTGTTTCCCAGTTATCCTTCTGGACACAGTCCTGTCATTGAGGAGCTTGTTGTAGTAGAAAGTGTCCCTGCCCATTTCAACTAGATGGTTTTTAAGATCCCTTCTAACCCAAATTATTCTAGGATATTGTGATATTCTTCACGTAATTCCAGGGAAATTCAGAACTGGTTTCACATATTCCACAGATAAATAAGGGACTTCAGTATTCAGGAAGAACTTTACAGGACTTGTGGTAACTAGCAAGTGTAAACCACAAGAATAGATACATCTGACTAATAAATAAGTTTTCTGATAAAAATAAAGCTTTTACTGAATGAGCAATCAAATAACTGTGCTGGTACTCTTGTTCTATGACATGTTACCACTGAACCATGCTCTTTTTGGTGGAATATTCCCTCCTCCTCCATCACATGTGGCATACTTAAATGAATGCTGCCCTGGATAAACCATAGTCTTAACTCTTATGTTGTAAGTCTACCATTGAGGGAAATAAAGAGTTCAGTTTATTTTTCTTAATTGCCTAGATGAAATGAATCCATACCATGTCCAGCCCAGTAGGTATCCAGATATGCACACACCATACAAGTCTAATGTTGAAACCCTGCAGCATCCAGGGGTTAAGTGGAAGCTTTTATGATTGGGTACTTCAGTGGGAGATGAGCTGTTGGGGAAATCTAGCCCAGAATAACAGTTTAACTTTTTATATTGACTCTTTTATTTCATTGGTGTTACCCTTTATCTCCAAGGTTGTAGATATGTTTTTATAAAGAGTAGTTCTGCAAGTTACCACATCTTTGGGCAACATAAATTCAGCCCAGATCAGGGCTCTGAGTCACACAGCATACAGAATACATACACATCACGGCTGTTCATGCCAGCTTTATTTTTTATGCTGCATCAATAACAGCTATGGGAGAAAAAGTGATGTTTGATCAAACTCAAATTGTGCAGAGGGAAGGTTTGGCCTTTTTGCACAAATTTAATATTTTACCTTCAGCTGTGCCAGTTGAATACATTGCATCAAGAAACAGTGATGGTTTTGATCTGGGATTAACTGTTGTAACTCTGGATTTATTGCCTGTTGGACCCTTGGCCCAA